CTGCCAGGGCTGGTGCGCCGGGCCCCCACGGTGAGACCCTGCCCCACACGGGGCCCCCCTGCCCCACACTTCCCTGGGATGGCCCCCCCAGCCAGACCCTGCCCGCCAGCTGGGTCACCCCTCTTCCCTGGGCCTGGCCCCATGCTGAGACTGCACCCCCATGAGAACCCCTGCTGCTCTCCAAGACTGCCCACACCATGCCCTGTGTCCCACTGTGAGATTGCCCCACAGCACAACCTTGTGTGCCCCCTACGGCTCCTGCAGTAGGCCCCCCAGTGAGGGGCGTGTGCCAGGGGGCTGTTGATGGGGGTCACTGATGCCCGTCTCCTCCCCAGCTGCTCTCCGTGTCCCGGCGGCTGCTGGGGCACCGGCTCTGGGGGTCCCTGCTGCGCGCCTCCTTCTACGGACAGTTTGTGGCGGGGCAGACGCCCCCTGAGGTGGGGGTCACAGTGCAGCGCCTCCGTGCCCTGGGGCTGCGCCCCCTCCTGGCCGTGCCCATCGAGGAGGACGTGGGGCAGGACAAGGAAGGGTAGGGTGGGGCCATGGGATTATGGGGGGGGGGCATTATGGGAATCCAAGGGAGTTTGGTTATGGGGAGTCCCAGAGGATGGGTCTTGGGGGGGCAGTGGGGATGGTCCCGGAGGGTGGGTTCCACATTTGAGAGGGCCCAGCTCTCTTCCCCCTCCCCACCCCAAGGGAGGGCTGGGCCAGGGGCTGTGGGGGGGGTTCGGCGGGGGCCCAGCTCTCTCTCCCCACAGGGAGGGCTGGTACGAGGGGAACCGGGTGGCTGTGGGGTGGGGGTCCGGGCGGGGGCCCAGCTTTCTCCCCGCGCAGGGAGGGCTGGGCCGAGGGGAACTGAGGGGCTGTGGGGGGGGTCCAGGCAGGGGCCCAGCTCTCTCCCCGCACAGGGAGGGCTGGGCCGGGGGGCTGTGGGGGGGGGTCCGGCGGGGGGCCCAGGCTCGTCTCTCCGCGCAGGGAGGGCTGGGCCGAGGGGAACCGGGGGGATGTGTGGGGGGGGTCCGGGCGGGGGCCCAGCTCTCTCTCCCCCACAGGGAGGGCTGGTACGAGGGGAACCGGGGGGCCGTGCTAGGCTGCGTGGGGCTCTCGGCCCAGGGGGGACCCCAGCCCATGATGCAGCTGAAGGTGACAGCCCTGATGAGCGCCCGGCTCTGTGTGAGTACTGGGCGGCGGGGGGGGGAGCTGCTGACGCCCCCTTTTGGGAGAGAAAGATGTAGGGGGCCTGGGACTCTGCTCCATGCCTATGGGGACTTGAGGGGCTGGGCCCGGACGCCTGGGTCCCCTCATTGCTGCCCATGCCAATCTGTTTGCAGGCTGGCGGGCGGGAGCCAGCTGGGGCAAGCAAGTGAGACCCACTGAATAGGGGGAGGGAGGGGGCTGGGGAGGAGCAGGGGGCAGGAAGGGAAGGGGGTGTGGGGGAGCAGGGGCAGGAAGGGAAGGGGGTGGGGGGGAGCGAGGGGGCAGGGAAGGGGGCTGGGGGAATGGGGGGAGGAGGCAGTGGTGTGGGGGGCTGAGGAGGGAAAAGGGGCAGGAAGGGGAGGGGGAGGAGGTGTGGGAGGCATAGGGGAGGAGGTGGC